GCCAATTAAAATCTCATAGACGATTCCTGTTTTCAACCCTCGGCTAATATAAGCTCAGAGTTTCCTTCCTTCACAAATCCCGGAACTTCGTGCCATATCTCATTTCACAGGGAACTTAAAATGATTCTAATTTATTATTAATCCATCTCTCATTTGTCGTTTTGCCATATCTCATGGGTGGTTTTTTCCTCTCCGTGGAATTTGAAATAACAAATTCTTCATTTTATATAACCAATTTGTAAACATTATTGCCGTCAAATCAGTATCAAAACCAAAAATAGAAAAATGTCTATTCTGTCATAGTTTAACTTGAGCAGCACCTGTAAAACCACCCATGAAAGGAACCGGATGCTCGATCAATGGCTGCCAAAAGCATACCTCATCCAACCTTATAGTTGCCTTAGGTTTGATTCCAGAAGAGCAGTCAGGGGCCAGGCATCTTAGGTTAGATTCAGATTAAACTAATTTTAAGAATACGCCTACGAGAGTGAGCGCGCGGACTCCGGCCGCTCACCTATATCCTGCTCTTTACTTGTGTTCCCAAACTTGAGCTGGCACGCCCATACAGAGGTTTACACGTTACATCACAAGAAAAACTTGATGGCTAGACGTCGGATTATCCTCACACACAAACAGCAATCAACACAAAGCCAAGTTTGATTGCATCCCTTCACATTCACACTCCCACACTGAAATAGCGTTACAGCCTTGCACATAAACATGCCGCCCTTACCCCGTTAGCCAATGAGGATGTGTTTCTTTGTTTTATGTTTGGTCAGCTCAGGTTGATCATTGCCGCAATCATGAACCAAAAAGATCGACACAAACCAGGAGCACAAAGGTTCCAAAATTTATAATATAAACCAATGTACATTTAGTCATCAAAAACCACCATTATAAGGTGCTATCGGCAAACTGACCATAGGACACGGGAATACAAGTTAAACCTACAACTCCAAAAGTAACACTCCTGAAAGACAATTCATTCAGAATGCAACCCAAACACTTTAAAACAATTACTAGGGCAAAGAACAAAAGAAGCCCAAGCAAATTATGGGCAAAGCAATCACAAGCTGCAAACCCAGGTTTACCCAGTGTTTGCTGGAGACACAACAAGGAGCCAAATCTAAACTCTCTTTGCTTTCAAAGACGCCGCCACTGGGATCTTGCTCAGAACCTTAGCATCGAACACTGCATATTGCTTTTTTATCTGAACCATTGCCTTCTCTGCCAAGGGATCAACTTTGTCCTCGTACTTCTCATAGAGAACAGGTACAGTGTGCAGCAAAACAAAGCCTGTTAAAATCATTGGAAATATTCAGTGCATAAATATCTGGCACACGATTGAACAAGCAGCATAAATCAGTTTCCAAGGTCATTACATATATAAAACAAGGTCAGGAAATGGCACGAACTCCCCACAATTGACAGGACCCACAATCCGGCAATAATCTGGCATTAAAACAGACGAGCAATTTTAGTAAAACCACAATGAGAACCAAAAGCAATTACCCAGCTCAATTTATAATTTGTCAAGGTCAGGAATATACAAATGGCAAATGATCAGCGAAGTAGAGTAGAACATGAAAACTAGCAAAAACACATTCATGAACAAATAATGTAGAACTTGACAGCAGTAAATTCCAGATCCATGTGAGGCAGGAATAAGGTTGCAAAAATAAATAAATAAGAAATATTAAATGATCATCTTCGATTACAAGTTGAACCTCTAGAAACGTAACAAATGAGTATGTGAGAGATATTCAAGAAACATACCATGAGAAGCTTCTTAAAGTCTTTTCCTGCCGCAACACTGCGTAAGCCCGCAAATGCACTATTGATCTCGACACATAGTGCTGAAGCAACCTGCAGGACCAGTTTTTCCGGAAGATGAATTTCTGGGATGCGAGGTGGACTCCTACAAAACATCGGAAAGAAAATTACAACCACCCAGCCTCTAATTTGTTGATACACCTCCCAATCCACCAAAACACATGAAAGAGAATATTATTACTTGTTGATGAGAGTACACGCATTAGACCAGAGGAACAAGAGTGCAGCAGCGAGTATCAAAATGTGACACACTAGAGTAAGCAGGTGGTATTCGATCAACTCGAAAAGGACCCACATTGCGGTGACAAATCCAAGTACACCTGCTGAAACCTTCTTGTTCCTCCACAGAAACACATCAGCAGCTGCACAACAAATTTATCACAACATCCACAGTCATTTTCTTCCCCTTTAATTTTCACACAGCAAAGGAAAAGGACAGCGACGACTAAATCTAAATCATATGCAAGTAACAATCTATCTATCTCTTTATATATAATAGATCGCAGCACGATTTAAAAATATATCTACAACAAAAATGAAAGTTTACTGAGTGAAGCACGTTTTAAATGACCGTACGTTTTCCACCGCCGAGTACATGATGGACAGGCTTTTCTCTACCGAACAAGCGCCAAATTTTGGCCTTCACCGACTCCAAACGATCCGGTTTATCTGAATCCAACTCCGAATCCGACGACGAAGATTCGTGATGGTGAACCTTCTCGATAATCTTCTCCATGATTGACTTAGTCGGACTCTCTGATTGCTCCGCCATTCTAATCTGGATCTTCCCAAATTAAGTTTCTTTTTTTTTTTTTAATAATAATAAGAATGTGAATTCGGGTGCGAGAACACGGGGGGGAGTGATGAAAAAGTGCGAGGGTTAAAAAGGACGTGAGGTATATTTAAATCGTAGGTGTGGATCCGAGCCTCAAGTGTGGAGTTTACGGAGCTGTGGTTTGGTTGAATTTGAAAAGAAAAAGGTTGGGTGGACGATCTCGTAACTCTTATTAGATGTGACATTCAGGAGATCGATGAGTTGACGGCGTTAACTGATAGATTTGCTTTCATACGTTGAGACAATGAAGGACGGTGGTGGATTGGATGGTTGTAAAGGCATCGAGACGTGGCACTGGTGGAATGGACGGCTGCTCCTGTTTTGCTGGTCAGACAAATTGCAGGAAAAAAAAGAGAGATTATATTTAAGATTTGAATTTATTTTTTCAACGGGTTAAAAAAAAAAGAGAGAGAAGGATTTGAGGATGCCACATGGGCAGCATCTTTTTCAAAGGAAAATAAATTGCTTTTCTTCGTCTTCGTTTTAGTATTTTTCTTGAAAAAAAGTGGTGAAGCTTTAGCTTTTGCCGACAGCTGCAAATTCTTTTTCTGTGAACATGAAACTGATGACATTTATTGTTTTTTACTGCTGCATAGGAAGGGGATTGATTTAATACACACACACAGTTTTGATAAAACACATGATAAGTGTATTTTTTTTGGAGTTTAGAATTTTTTCTGAAGAGAAATTATCTTTTTAGTTTTCGTTTCAAGCTATTTTTTTAATTTTAAATTTTTGATATGTTAGTATTAAAAATAATTTTTTAAAAATAAAAAATATTATTTTAATATATTTAAAAACTTTAAAAAACTATTGCCATGATTCAAAAAATTATCTATAAAAAATATATAAAATTTTTTTAATATTAATCTTATATCAATACCTTTATAAGTCATGAGTGGTATATTTTATTTTAAACGGATCAAATATATATATATATATATAATACTAAAATTTATAATACTTGAATTAGTAATTTTTATAAAATAAACTTAAAATCTTACTAATTAAATTATACCCTTTAAAGTTATAAGTGGAGGTATTTTCTGAATAAGCCTTGTAAATTTGTTTAAAGTGAAAAGGCCGTAAACAAATTAATCTTGTGGTGAAGAGATTTATTCAGTTCTGTGTAATTAAATTATTTTTCATTAAATTTTTAAAATATAGGAGCTTTTACAAAATCAGGCAATTAATCTATCAAAACAAGATTTAAAGAGAATCTTTAAATGCATCCAACTGATAAAAAAAATACACCCTTAATATTGTTATGATAATGTTTTTGATAAAATAATAATAAAAAAGAATGTGAGGAAAGAAAATCACCATGTCCTGGCCATCAAGAGTGTAAAAAATAAAAATAAAAAAGCATGTGAGGTTCTAGTCCAGCGGTGAGAGGGGATTGTCCCCTTTCTCTGTATCTGAATTTGAGTCTTATCATGCATACTTGTCACTTCTGTGGTGCTTTACCTGCTCACTAGACTTGCAAGATGTTCAATGAGTTATGAGGATTAGTAGTGGTGCGTGTAAGCTGGCCTGGACATCCCACATAAAAAAAGAAAAGAGTGTAAGAAAAAAAAAGGGTACCATAACACAACAGACCCACGTGTCTTTTTGAGATTTCTTTTCAGTATTGTGCATACATTGTGGACGATCCCCTCCTTCTTCTTCGCTCAAGATTTTATTGGTTGAGGAGTCAGAGTAGTCTGGCCCATTGGATATATAAAAAAAGGAAATGCAAGAATCTTAGACTGAGATGTTTGGATCACATCAGATTGGAAAATTAAAGCCCACAAATAACAAGGTCACGTGGCCACTTTACTATATAATTGTTTTCATTGTTAATGATTTTTTTTAATAGAAAATAGATTCTTTTTTGAAGTTTGGTAGTATCTTAAAAAATAAATTTAAAAATATTTTTTAGTATTTTATTATATCATGTAAATGAGTTGGAAAATAATTTTTTGTTTTTTGTTTTTATTTTATTTTATTAAAAAAATAATGATCAAATCTAATAAATTTAAAGATTGAAAAAGAATGAGATTGAAAAAAAAAATCTAAATTGAAAATTAAATCTAATAAATTCTATTTTCATAAATGATTTTATATAAAATAAATAGAAATCAAAAGAATAAAAATCAAATCTGATAAATAAAAAAAATTCAATTGAGAAAAAAATAAATAACAATAAAAAAAAATAAAAATTAAAGTTTATATAAAAATCAAATTAAAATTAAAGAAGTATTTTTTACTTTAAGAAACATGTATACCAAACTAAAGTTTCACTCGAGTGAAAAATATTTTTTGTTGACTCGTGAAGCAAACAGGTCTCAAGTGGTAAAATCGTTTACAGGGTTTTCAACCGTCTATAACCAATCATAAAATGTGAAGATAACTAAATTAACAGGAAAAGCATAAATGTAATATCCTAATATATCATCAATTATTTAAAGCCAACGAGGCACACTGACTTTTGAGCAAGGACTCGGGATTGAAGCCAGTGAGAGGGGAGCAACCGAGCCCCGGAAGGAAAGAAATCTCGGCTTTGTCATGTATGCACACGCGCCTAGGCGTGTTATTAACGAAATGGTCTTGGCGGCTTCTCTAGCACAGCAGAGAAGAAAACCTCTCGATCATCCTTGTCCAGCTTTGGAACAACAATCCATTTATGCCTCCTGTACCTCAGCATCTTAAAGGCTTCCAAGTAATCATCCAAGTCCTCTTTCAAACAGAAAAAGCTGTCGATCCAAAGCAAACCTCCTGGCCTCAAGACCCTATCCCAATCGTACAATATAAAATCCAGGAGCACAAAATCGATCCATCCATCAAGAAACCTCGTGGTGTGTAACAAATCCAGGGTATTATCAAAGAATGGAAGCCGTTGATTTATAGTCAAGTATAGAGGTACAAGTCCCCGAAGTGCAATCATTTCGTTAAAAGGGGCACCAAGATTAATGGTTGCTGAGACTATCGTGACATTAAACTCTCTCATTCTTGCTGCAAAAGTCCCAGTTCCCACACTGAAATCCAATCCGATTCTGATCTCTCCTGGTTTGATGTTTAGCACTTCAGGTATCAGAAAATCTGCTGTAAGATTCATCTCGGGGTCAGAAATCACTTGTTTGATCCATCTTGGCGATTCATGGTCCGACAGATTGAAGCAATCTGCACACTTAAAGAATCCCTTGCGAGTTGTATTGCTAGCTAGGCAAATGAAGTTTTTGCATCTGTACTGGCTCCACCGGACATTTCGATTGTCAGGAAGCTTCCACATGGACTCGTTGATGGGGAATGGCTTGCTGTATAACTGTGGGGCCCTTGCAAAGCACCTCCTCCTCGGTAACGGATCACATCCATGAACCATCAGCTTTTGAGCTAGCTTCCAATCATCTTTGCAGATTTCACCTACATCATAATCCATATATTCTTCAATATCTTTCTTCATTGCAAAACAAGCATGGCCAATGCTCGTGAACGTTCCGTTAGCTCCCATGAAGTTCTGTTTGCCTAAACGATTGGGTTTGATCCTTACATACTTGCGGATCTCTTCTATCAGAAAGAACTTTGCAGGTTCATCCGACTGTTGTTTTCTTCCTGCTAGAGGATGGACAGCTCTGATTTCACTGTTTTCCTGGGGATTTCCAGTTGTCTGTAATGACTCAACAAGTCCCAAAATATCAGCAAGAAAAGCACTGTATCTTGACACTATTGTTTCTGATGATGAAGAGTCTATTGGCATATCTCTCATCTCATTCATTTCTTTCTGGATCTTGCTAACAATAGTTTCGACAGCTATGCCTGGTTCACTCTGAAATCCTCTTTGATACTCAATATTAACATGACTGCATAACGTATCAGAAATAAAAAGAGATCTAATAGAGTAGAATTTGGACAAAGTAGCAATAGAGACCAAGAGAGCTAAAATACCAAGAATAAAGATTGGCCTGCGAACCCCACCCCATCTTCCTAGCTTCACTGAAATTTTAGGTTTGGTCATCTGTCTAAATGAGACCTCGAAATCGGAAACCAGTCACTGCCAAGAAAAACAGCAGAAGCTACTCTAACAAAACACGTGTCCGATCATGAACAACATCCTAATAGAAATCAGATGCGAGGATACCAAAATTGTTCTCAATCAATGATATTAATATCAATAGTTCATTAAAAAAAGACTTCAAGCAGTTATGAAGTAGGAAAGAAAAAGAAAAGAACGAGGGATATATTAAGGATACCTGTAACTTTGAAGCCGAACGAAAACTATTGGCTTGGAGAGGCGAGGGGGAGGGTGGGGGGAGATGAGTTTGACTAGACGCCATATAATTTAATTGGTAAAAAATCCGCTAAAAGATTAAGATTGGAAGATTTTGAGATCTGAGTCAGATCGGAGTTGTATTTTCTAATCTTATTGAGTTCTGGGCTTCTTGGTAATATTTCCTGAGGCAGTCTACTTTATATGTGATCAGTGTATTTTAATATATCCATCCTAGTCAGAGATAGCTTGCATCCTAGGATGTGCTAATGGACATTGCACATTATCTGGTCAATCTCGTTCACTTAAAGCTTCCAGTTTTCTTGCAATAACGTCTTCACTGTAACGCTTGCAGGATAAAACAAGCTTCTGAGGAGAAATGGGCCTCTGCCCAATAGTAAAATTAGTTACAGTAGGCTAGCCTCAATTGCCACGATTCAAAAGATTATCTATACAAAATATATAAAGAAAATTTAATATTTAATCTTATATCAATACCTTTATAAGTCATGAGTGGTATATTTTGTTTTAAACGGATCAAATATATATATATAATACTAAAATTTATAATACTAATATTTATATAATAAACTTAAAATCTTACTAATTAAGTTATACCTTTTAAAGTTATAAGTAGTGGTATTTTCTGAATAAGCCTTGTAAATTTGTTTAAAGTGAAAAAGCCATAAATAAATTAATCTTGTGGTGAAGAGATTTATTCAGTTCCGTGCAATTAAATTATTTTTCATTAAATTTTTAAAATATAGGAGCTTCTACAAATCAGGCAATTAATCTATGAAAACAAGATTTAAAGAGAATCTTTAAATGCAGCCAACTGATAAAAAAAAAAATACACCCTTAATATTGTTACTATGATAATGTTTTTGATAAAATAATAATAAAAAAGAATGTGAGGAAAGAAAATCACCACGTCCTGGGCCGTCAAGAGCGTACCATAACTCAACAGACCCACGTGTCTTTTTGAGATTTCTTTTCAGTATTGTGCATACATTGTGGACGATCCCCTCCTTCTTCTTTGCTCAAGATTTTATTGGTTGAGGAGTCAGAGTAGTCTGGCCCATTGGATATATAAAAAAAGGAAATGCAAGAATCTTAGACTGAGATGTTTGGATCACATCAGATTGGAAAATTAAAGCCCACAAATAACAAGGTCACGTGGCCACTTTACTATATAATTGTTTTCAGTGTTAATTATTTTTTTAATAGAAAATAGATTCTTTTTTGAAGCTTGGCAGTATCTTAAAAAATAAATTAAAATATATTTTTTAGTATTTTACTATATCATATGAGTTGGAAAATAATTTTTTAATTTTTTTAATTTTATTAAAAAAATAATGATGAAATCTAATAAATTTAAAGGTTGAAGGAGAATGAGATTGAAAAAAAAATCTAAATTGAAAATAAAATCTAATAAATTCTATTTTCATAAATGATTTTATATAAAATAAATAAAAATTAAAAGAATAAAAATCAAATCTGATAAATAAAAAAATTTAATTGAAAAAAATAAGAAAAAAACAAATAATAATCAAAAGACAAAAATTAAAGTTTATATAAAAATCAAATTGAAATTAAAGAAGTATTTTTTACTTTAAGAAACATGAATACCGAAATAAAGTTTCACTCGAGTGAAAAATATTTTTTGTTGACTCATGAAACAAACAGGTCTCAAGTGGTAAAATCGTTTACAGGGTTTTCAACCGTCTATAACCAATCATAAAATGTGAAGATAACTAAATTAACAGGAAAAGCATAAATGTAATATCCTAATATATCATCAATTATTTAAAGCCAACGAGGCACACTGACTTTTGAGCAAGGACTCGGGATTGAAGCCAGTGAGAGGGGAGCAACCGAGCCCCGGAAGGAAAGAAATCTCGGCTTTGTCATGTATGCACACGCGCCTAGGCGTGTTATTAACGAAATGGTCTTGGCGGCTTCTCTAGCACAGCAGAGAAGAAAACCTCTCGATCATCCTTGTCCAGCTTTGGAACAACAATCCATTTATGCCTCCTGTACCTCAGCATCTTAAAGGCTTCCAAGTAATCATCCAAGTCCTCTTTCAAACAGAAAAAGCTGTCGATCCAAAGCAAACCTCCTGGCCTCAAGACCCTATCCCAATCGTACAATATAAAATCCAGGAGCACAAAATCTATCCATCCATCAAGAAACCTCGTGGTGTGTAACAAATCCAGGGTATTATCAAAGAATGGAAGCCGTTGATTTATAGTCAAGTATAGAGGTACAAGTCCCCGAAGTGCAATCATTTCGTTAAAAGGGGCACCAAGATTAATGGTTGCTGAGACTATCGTGACATTAAACTCTCTCATTCTTGCTGCAAAAGTCCCAGTTCCCACACTGAAATCCAATCCGATTCTGATCTCTCCTGGTTTGATGTTTAGCACTTCAGGTATCAGAAAATCTGCTGTAAGATTCATCTCGGGGTCAGAAATCACTTGTTTGATCCATCTTGGCGATTCATGGTCCGACAGATTGAAGCAATCTGCACACTTAAAGAATCCCTTGCGAGTTGTATTGCTAGCTAGGCAAGTGAAGTTTTTGCATCTGTACTGGCTCCACCGGACATTTCGATTGTCAGGAAGCTTCCACATGGACTCGTTGATGGGGAATGGCTTGCTGTATAACTGTGGGGCCCTTGCAAAGCACCTCCTCCTCGGTAACGGATCACATCCATGAACCATCAGCTTTTGAGCTAGCTTCCAATCATCTTTGCAGATTTCACCTACATCATAATCCATATATTCTTCAATATCTTTCTTCATTGCAAAACAAGCATGGCCAATGCTCGTGAACGTTCCGTTAGCTCCCATGAAGTTCTGTTTGCCTAAACGATTGGGTTTGATCCTTACATACTTGCGGATCTCTTCTATCAGAAAGAACTTTGCAGGTTCATCCGACTGTTGTTTTCGTCCTGCTAGAGGATGGACAGCTCTGATTTCACTGTTTTCCTGGGGATTTCCAGTTGTCTGTAATGACTCAATAAGTCCCAAAATATCAGCAAGAAAAGCACTGTATCTAGACACTATTGTTTCTGATGATGAAGAGTCTATTGGCATATCTCTCATCTCATTCATTTCTTTCTGGATCTTGCTAACAATAGTTTCGACAGCTATGCCTGGTTCACTCTGAAATCCTCTTTGATACTCAATATTAACATGACTGCATAACGTATCAGAAATAAAAAGAGATCTAATAGAGTAGAATTTGGACAAAGTAGCAATAGAGACCAAGAGAGCTAAAATACCAAGAATAAAGATTGGCCTGCGAACCCCACCCCATCTTCCTAGCTTCACTGAAATTTTAGGTTTGGTCATCTGTCTAAATGAGACCGGATGCGGGGTGGCAGCGGCAGCGGCAATTGTTTAATATTATAAAAGCAGTTATTTTTTAAAATATTTTTTATTATAAAATATATTAAAAAAAATATTTTTTTATTTTTAAAATTAATTTAGCATCAACCGTCGAAACAATCTAAAATGAAAAATTTTAATAGTTTAGCCCCAAAAGCCTTAGGCTGCATTTGAAAACACAAGCCCACATATACTTTTAATAAATTTAGTTTTTTTATAAAAAATTAAATAAAAATTATTTTAATATATTATAATATAAAAATTATTTTAAAAAACAATCATATCTATAATTCCAAATACTTTTTTAGTTATTATACATTACTTAAGTTAGTAATTGCGTTGGATGGACTTCACTTTCTTATCTGTATATCTTGAGAATGACGTTTTCTTCATATGGCCACACGGAAGGAACTAATGAATCTCTCTATGCTACAAGTTAACCTCTTTTTATATTTTTTTTTTTCTTGTGAGACTTCTCCATGCTTTACGGTTACCAAATTCCTGCACATCCATGACCCATGAATCTTCAAGAAAAAGAAAGTTGAAGTAAAAGCTCCAAGGCAAATCTGTGATTAGCAAAAACGAGAAATTGAGGTTGATGGGGTCTGAAACTGCCCAGGCAATGGTTTGTTGATGAGATTATCTTGAAGGTGGAAGGCGAGCAGAACAACCAAACAGCAGTTGGATTTAACACGAATACATAACAAAATGAAGAAAACAATACCACACCAATTCTGACATTTTATATAACAATCCAAAATCAGTAAATCCAACAAAACCCCCTATACCTACTCAATACCCACACCAAGAATTTACAATATCCATTTCCCACCACTCCACATCCAAATCAGATCAAGCCAAAATCACCTCCTCCTCCGATCTTCTGCATACTGCGATAAGGGCACAACCTCCGACAATGGTGTAGAGAGCGGAGTCGGCAACGGTGAGTTCCGACAGACTGGACACGAGCCGTTAAGCTTAAGCCAGGCATCAAGACAGAGCGAGTGAAAGTAATGCCTGCACTCAGGCATCATTCTTAACATCTCCAAATCTTTATACTCGCACAAACAGATCGAGCAAGTATTGTTAAGGTCATCGGTACTTTCACTGAACCCACCATCTCTACTAAACTGGAATTTCGGGTACGAGTTTATAACAGCCTGGTCAAGCCCAACAGCAGCACCTTCCGAATCACGTTCTTGTTCTTCATCGTCTTCAGCGACGAAAATAATGCGAGGAAGTATTATTCCATCAGCTGTAGAGTTTGAATAATTGTTGTTGTTGTTGGAGTTACGAGAGCGATTTCGGGTGGTGCGACAACATATGTAGGAAGCGAGGAGAATAGTGGAGACAAGGACGAGAAAGCCAAGGGCTATGGCTATAGAATAGCCAAGGCCAAGGCTGGTGAGATAATTGGAGGAGGGAGGGGAAGTGGAGGTGGTGATGGTGGCGGGGGACATTTGGGTTTAAAGAGGAATTGGGAGTCCATTTGGGGGGTGAGAGAAGAGAAGGGCATGGGGATTAGGGTAGATTTTTTTGGGGAGAAGGTGGGTGGATTTTCCAGCTGCTGCATTTAATACAGCGTTTGGAAACAGAGAGGGGCATTTAATTTGCTTGTAAGTAGGAAAATCATATCGTGGGCTTTGGGCCTTCTTTGTGCTTTGGAATTTTAA